TTGCAAGGCACCCCCACCTTTCAAATATTTAAAATTAGGTACAAAACCTTTCCACAACTCATAAGGTGTTTGGTTAGTTTTCCTATGAGGTATTCTATTGTGTAAAAGCAAGCAAAGCATTCATCATCTCTTTTAAAGTTCTATTTTTCCTTTCTGCACTCCATTAGATTCAGGTGAGTAAGGAGGTGTTACTTCATGTATTATTCCCTTTTTTTCACAAAAATCATTTTAATAATAAAATATTCTCCTCCTCTATCAGATCTAACTCTTTTAATTTTCCTACTTAGTTGATTTTCTACCTCTGCCTTATAGAAGATAAATTTTTCAAAAGCTTCATCTTTATTTCTTAACAGGTACACCTTCGTGTATCTAGAAAAATCATCAATGAAAGTAATATAGTATCTTTACCACCTCTAGTCTCTGTTTGTTTCAATCACCTAAATCAGTATGTATTAATGACAATAACTCAGTCTCTCTTTGTGTAGGAAAATGTGACCTTTTAGTCATTTTGGTTTCTGCACAAACCTCGCATTTACCAATATTATTAATTTTAGTTTCAGAAATTAATTAAGGTGTTGCAACCTTTTGATACATTTTCTATTAATATGCCCTAATCTAGCATGCCACATATCATAAGAATCAACCAAGTAAACAGAAGAAGATGCATTATATTCATATCAACACTCAGTACAAAGAGGCCTTGATTACAGTAACCCTTCCCCACAAGAACATTGTTCTTTGTCATCACAATTTTATCAGACTCAAATGACACTTTGACCCCAGCCTTTCCCAAGAGAGCCACAAAAATAAATTTGCTCTCATATCGGGCACATACAGAACATCATTTAGCACTAGAGACTTCCCAGATGTGAGTTTCAGCACCACTTTTCCTTTTCCCACCTTTGCAGTTCGGGAGTCAGCAAGATAAATTTGATCTTCCCCTTCTTCAAGGAGGTATACATTTCTTTGTTTGCACATATGTGCTGGTAGCCCCAGAGTCTACCACCCATTTTCTCACATCAGAGATGAGGAGGGCCTGAGAAAGCATCGCAGCAATTACTTCGTCATTGTCGCTGTCATCTCCTTCAACCAAATTCACATTTGGTTTGGGAGGATTTTCATCCTTTTGAAAACTTCCCTTAGCCCTCTTCCTGCACTGCGCTGCATGATGTCCTAGTTTCCCACAAACAAAACAATTACCCTTTTTCTTGAATTTGGAGTTAGTGCCCTTGGGTTTGTAATCAGGCTTCTTATTTTTTTGTTTCTTTGAGTTAGAGTCGTACCTCTTGTTGCGTGGTTTTGTTTCCACTAGATTTGCTTTGGCAGCCATCTCTTTCTCTTTTGCTGCTTGTATTGTCCTTCTGTTGGTATCTTCAATGATGATGTGAGTGATCAAGTCAATAAGCGACAATTGCTTTTGTTTATGCTTCAGTTGTTGTTTGTAGTTGTTCCATGAAGCTTGGTAGTTTTTCAATCAGGACTCCAGCGATGAACTCGTCAGGAAGATTGATCTTTTCAGCCCGAAGTTCCTCCAGTAATTTGTGATATTCATTGATCTGGAGTTGATGTCTTTGTCATCGGTCATCTCCCACCTATAGAAGTTTCCGACCACAAATTTCTGCTTTCCAGCGTCCTCGGCAGTATATTTGAGAACCAATGACTCCCATATTTGCTTTGCCTCTTATAGATGCTATAGATGTCAAATAAATCATTAGACAGAGTACTGATCAAAGTGTGCCTGCATACTTTGTTCGCATGTTGCCATAAATCCTTTTGTCCTTGATCAGCATCTGGAGCAGGTTCTGATTGAGTCAGCGCATTATTAACACTCCATGCATGTCCAGAATGTATAAACACGTTCTTGCCACGCCTAAAGTTGTTTCAAATCGAACATTTCTATCTTGGATGTATCAGGGAATGGCCTAGGAAGCGGTATGGCGCCGGGGACATTCAGTGGAACACTGATAGGGACAGCATCGGAGCCAACGGCAGGTGTCGTTGTTTCAGCCATAGTTCAGACTATCTCTCAGATTGTTGGTGGCTGGCAGCAAGGGAGGAAAGCAAAATCCGGTTCAAGTCGCGTCACAAGGACACTGTCCTTGAGAGATATTCCGCAACCCTTAGTGTAACCAGCGGCACTCCCCAGGATCAAACGAACCCTTCCTGCGAAGCAAGGTGGCAGAACAGCGAAAGAGTTTGTAACGATGCAGGGAACAGAGGAGAGGAAGAAGACGAGCACAATCTAGCCTCACGCTTCTGAACCGTCCCTTATATAGATGCGAATGGCCACATCACTGGAAGACGCATCCCTCTGTTTCGTAGAATGGGGTACGACGGAAACAACGCAAGGTTCCGTTGGAGACAGAACAATCACGAACGTTGGTGCACACAACGTTCGGTCACACCCCATGAGATGCGTCCGGTCGGCCACAAAAACAAGACAGCAACCCTGTTTACTTTTAACAAGTCCAAAATAAGACTTTTCCGGTAAGCAAAATTTTATTAAAAAATTTAACAAAAGTTTAAAATAATTTTCGTAAAATGAGGCGTTGCCACGTTTAATTCACGCGCAGGGGGAAACCGCCAATTTTCAACTGCGTTTCCCTCCTGGTGGCCCGTTGTTGTGTACGCGAAGCCCACTTTCCTCTTGGCCCATTTACCACCTTAAGGATGCTTGGTCTCATTTATACACTTAGTCTTCTTCTCATTTTTCCCATGTGGGACTTTATTTGACACACATTGCAATGTTTTCACAACATGAGTTATGGATTTAACGGCCTAAACTTAAAAGATCTCATAGAAAGAAAACAAATGTCGCAAGACCTAATTCAAGTGGAGGAAATTATAATGAGCTGGCGATTAATTTTCCCTATCAATATTTAAAAAATGACCCAAAAAATTGAAAATATAAAAAAGAAAATATGAAAGGCAGAATAAGAATTGCAAATAACAAAAAAGGAAGTACTTAAAATAGCATTTTGGAATTGAAACACAGTTACAAAAATGCTCCTCATATTAAAAAAAAATAAAAATAAAAAAGTTCTCAATCCCCCTCCCGGGAAACCCCACCAGCAGGAAGAATTTTTTTTGGGGGAAAAAAGTGATGGAGGCCACCACCACTTCGTGATTTGTGCCAAAATTAAGCGTAACCATTATACAACCAATGTTTTGTTATCAATATAATGCAAAAAATATACTCCTCTGATTATTAATATAAGACCTAATTAACTAATTTAAGTAGGTTAAATATGCTTATTAAATTAGTTAATATGTTATATATATTTTCTAAAACACTCTGGGCATCTTTCTTAATTCTCTTACTCACTCCCTTTCCTACTTGATTATTGTTGTCAATAGAGTTAATTTAAAAAAAATTGATAAACATGTAAAGTAAGTTTTACATATAGAACTAACTTCAACTTCTCAATTAGATCATACATTAAGAATCAAATGAATATAAGTTAACTACTCAACTTTAACTACCGGTCTTTTACCACTTTTATATAGGTATTAATTACATTTTGATAGGTATTAACAACTTTTGTTTAGCAGATAACAAAATCAATTTTTCAAATTGTTCACATCTTTTGGACAGATATTGATTACATTTCTATAAGTATTAATAAATTTTTTAAGTCACTCTTTCAAGGTCACTTTTTCGTTTAGCAAATATAATGTCACTTTTTTAAGTCATTCATAACTTTTGTATAAGAATTGGTCACATTTCATTGGTTAGTAACAATTTTTGTTTAGCAAGCAATAAGACCATTCTTTTATGTCATTACCTCTTGAAATAGAGTCAATACCTATATGAAAATTATTAATACTTATTTAAAACAAAAGGGGGTTTTTGGTACTTGCGCATCACTTTTAAAATCCCATTTTAAGTTCTTCTTCTTTGTGTCATTTGTAGCTATTAGTTTTCCTTTTCGTCTTTTGATATTTTTAAACTTGTTTTTCTTTTTGAGTCATTTTCACACACACATAGTAAAATTTAATGAAATTCATAAACAAGATAGTGCTTCCCTTTTCCTTGTTTGTTGTGTGTTCTTTCTAGGAAGAGATGTGTGTTTGAATTGTCTTTGAAAAACAATAACTTCCAAGTTTCAGACCACATTAATAGTTGGTCATAATATCTATTATAATAAGGCTAAGTATTTAACAGTCGTGCTACGAAAATCTACTAGATCTCGTTAAGGCGTAACACTCAAGATCCTTGAAAATAAATAAACTTTAAAATTGACTATTGTGAATAATTTTTTCTCAAAATAAAATGATAAAGGAAATTATACCTAATCGCATTAGAACAAAATGGGGGAGGAGTTTAAATGCGGGAAAAAAATATCTCCATTTAACTTCATCTCCACTTCCCTCATTTACTATCTCATCCAATAATTGAAATTTAATGCACTGCAATAGTATGATTATAATATTAATTAAACAACAAATATATATAAGCAGTTAGAAATTGATCTGCATACATAGTTCGCATATTTTTATTAAAATATTTTATTATTTATATATAGATTAAATTTATTTATGAGTATTTTTTATTATTTAATATTATAACAATACTACTATAATGTATTAATTCTCAACTATTGAATGTTAATCTAATGATAGGGATAGCAAATGAAAAAAGCTAAACAAAAGACATTCCTCTCCCAATAAAAGATTAGAAAAAAAACGTACAACTATATATGTGCCAAAGTCTTTAAAATAATGAGATTAAAAATTTTAATCAATTTTTCTTACTCTTTTGTTTACATTTTTTCTTTACTAAAATTTTATAATTCTACTTCTCTTTTTTTTTGTTTTAAATCAAAATCATTAAAAAAATTTCTCTCCTTCATCTCCCACCAAATATAAGGTAAAATATACGCATTATTTTTTTTTTCTGAACCTAAATGATTTTCAAATAATCTGTTTAAAAGGGAAATATTTTGGTTCAAAAAAAGTTTGTTTTACGTAACTATGGTAACTATTGATTTCACAGAAGGTTCATATAGGTTTTTATCTATAGGTTTTAAAAATAAAAGTGAAGTATCTGTAATTAATGTGAAATTTAGCGGAACTGAGTGTACTTTACTGTATATATACAAAAGCATTTACAAAAGGGAGAAGATGGTAGATGTAGTATGAAGTAATTAAAGTTAATCTTCAGCTGCAACATCCATCTTCCGAGTCTGAGAATGAAACATTTCAGCTATATCAGCAGCTGTGCTGCATTCTTCGGGGTTCCTGTCCAAAACATTGCGAACAAATCTTGGGAATCTGATTGAGATGCCACGAGACGGATGAACCAGACCAAGGGCAGCTTGGTGAACTGGAGATACTGTAAATTCTGCACCTCTTATTTCCCAAACAAGCAGAGGACAGAACCACTTGTCTGGTACCTCGGCTGTTCGGTAGTATGGTGGCTTTTTGGACAATATCTTGTCCTCGGAAAAGAATTCTTTCATCTGCAGCTCAATATCAACATGGCGTTCATAAGAAATATGACAGATATGTTTCCTCCATGTAAATACTGCAGTGGAAGGAGATGAGAATAAAATCATATCATATTGACTTTTCGCTTCAACGGTGCATTCCTGCAAAATCCTCATTATTTGAGTTGGATTTTTCTTCATTGGCCAAAATTTGAATTGGATTTTCAGCATTCATATAATTATGCATTTGGAAAGAAGTAGGTGACATTGGACATTGGCCATCGGAGTCTTTGGCCTAGGCATGTCATCAGCATGCTCAGAATGGCAGGAAAAAACCAAATCGAAACTCAACCATTTTTACCTCCATGTAGAAGGCATCTGAGAACCCAGACATCACACGGCATACGCTTTGGTACTCCTCTGTTTCAGGATTGTAACATGCCATGAGAAATGGGCTATACCTGCAACAATTGGGGACTCGGATCAAATAAATTGCATGAAAAGTGATGGTGAAACGCTAATTCCTTCATGCGATTATCTCTACCATAAGAGGCATAGAACTTCACACAAAAGCCAGATTCTTTTTTAGTATGATAATTCAAATTAGATTCAACCCTTTTAGATTTTACAAGTGCTACTTGCCATGAATGACAAGCAATGATAAGGTAAAGTTAAATGAAATAATCTTCTGCAAGCACCAGCGCACTGTCTCAAAGCAAATCATAACAGAGAACCGAGATATGAAAGAGGATAAATTACCATCCAGCCTTCCTTCCATTTCCATACCAACCACCAATTGGTACTAAATCAAGAGAATCATTTAAACCATCCACATAATCTCGCTTCACCTACAAATGAAACGCCAAACAATTACAAAGATTTGATACATGTGATTCTGAAACAAAAGCGATCATATCTCCTGTACAACAAAGAACCTTTAACCATGTGTCTGTACGCTTTGATGGAGAATATCCAGCATCAACATCCAACGACTTCACCATAATTCCTTCACATGCCGAATGCATTGCGTCTTCTAGGAAAGAGTTTATCTTAGTTACCGTGACATCACAGGTTAATGAAGCATCATCTGCTTCAATCTACAAGGGAACAGCACTTTAAAATCTCCGAAACCATAAAGATGAATTCCACTATAAAGATATAACTGGCGGGACTTACAGTTGTTTCTTTTGCATATTCAAAATATCCAAGTTTCTCGTCGTAGAACAAATCCTTCAGATCTACACATTTTCAGACAAGGGTAAAAGTTATGGTATCTTGCCCATAAGTGTAAAAGACTCACAACATCACAAAAGTCTAGATGCATACGTTTTCGCCTTTCACGGAGAGGAAAACCCAATAGCCTGCAGTCAAGTACTTGAATGAATCAACAAAGACTTCAGTTGGCAAAACCAAGTACTTAACAAGGAGATTGCCCAAGCGTTAAATAAATATTGCTGATAAAGATTCCCTTTTAATCTGGCCTTAGGAAGAACACTCTATCGTAAGGAATGAACTACGAATGCTCTGTCCAATCTTATCCACCAATTCAAACATATGATAACCTGAAGTCCCATTAGACAGACTACTACTCATCCTATATTCTGCAGTGACAATTCTAACTGCTTGCTGAACAGGGTCAATGTGTTTAACAGCCAATCAAGGGAAGCGTAGGTCTATGCTCCATGAGCATTTCTAGCATTCTTGAAACGAGTTTATCAGTGTTGCTGGCAATTTAAGAAGTTTGAGATGCATAAGTAGAGAAAAGGTTCAAGATAATTACTGTTGCCCATTAGCAAACATGATGTCAAAGACAAACAGGCAAACGTCCACCTGCATGAACAAAAGATATTATAAAGATGATCTGGCATTTAGAAAAATCAACTCAATTAATAACAACAGATAAGCAGACCTTCCCCACCCCACCATCAAAATAAAGATAAGGAGAAGAAATATGTCAATTTGAGAGCATGGAATATCCATAATAGCTTTCAGTTTTTCAACACCATACACTTTATACTACATAGGGAGGTGATAACCATCTACTTAAAAATGTCATACTTAAATCCACAAGACAAGTAGTTTAGCTCTCTTCTCTTTATGGTAAATGAGCACCCGTGAGCTTTAAAACATAGCTGATTCCTAAATCCCAAAAATTGTGCTACCGTGCTCTCATTTTATTAGTTGAAGAGTTTCTTAATGGAGCTTTTACAATTCCCTATCCAAGCAATCTCAAGGAACCCTTTTTTAAAAACCGTTGTTATCTATTGCTTTGTTCATATGCTCCTTGAGACTAAAGGCTTCTTCTGTTAACTTATCACTGGGCTGTCCCCTTCAATAACAGTAAAGAAAAGAACAGATAATTTGAGTTGTTTGATCACACCTTTGCATGATCTGCGATTCAAAATTTAACCTCTATTTTTCTTACAAGTAAATCAAATTTATATGCACTCTAACCAGCCAATCCCACGTAAATACTGTCAGAAACAAAAGTTCACTTACACAAAAATTTACAGGCTATTTGGGCAGCATTACATGATTACTTGGAATTAATTAGATGGTAACTTATTAGGTTGTTAGTTTTGTGTTCAGAAATTATTAATTCTATCCCTATGAGCATTAAATTGCCCTAAAGCAGGAAAATCACGTACATCTAATAATTATTCTAATATATGTATATATATTAACAAAAAGCTTTGTTTTAGGGGAGGTGCTGAAGAGCCACTTCCAAAATAACTGGGTCGGAAAGCGTACATGGTCAAGGCCTGAGGGGCAAAACTGAAACCTAACCCCCTTTACATTTAAAATTTAAATATCATCAAGGCAGGAAAAATAAATTCTTCAACTTATCTGCAGTGTCTTGGAAAAATATTTTATAACAAGGAGACTTTACTAGGGAAGAGAATGCATTAAAGGACATATAGAAATTTTAGCCCTTCAATAAATTGATCCCATCATAAGGTGGTTTATCCATCCCGTAATAGTTACCATAAAATGTCCAAATGTTTGTATACTGCGTTTGTTACACAACCATCATTCTGTGCGTGTTCTACAAAAAGTTATTAATATATTTCAGATTTCAGATTCTACACTGGGCTTACAAGTCATAATAGTGTTTATTGCATGATTTTTGTGTAAGGAAAAGACAGCTCCCCCAGAAGCCCTCCAGCAAGCAAACAACACATCTAGCATGACTTCAGAACAAAATAAGGCTTCTAAATTTCACGTAAGTTGAGGTTCTACAGACACAAGCTTTTCGGTTCATTTTTAAGCACTCAAGTTTCAAACCTTTATGCTCTCTGTAGTAACTGAGGCATCTTTACTTCCTCTCCCACGTGAAGATAACTCTTGAAAAGCCATATACCTATATCCATTCTTCCTATCAATACCCACAATCTGAAAATGAGAAGAAATCATAGAAAATGGAAATAAAAAGAGCTTAGTTGACAAGAAGGAATAAGTTAATCACAGAAAATGTTAAAATGCAAGAAAATTATACTTCAGCATCCAGTATAAAAGTCACTGAAGCAGGCTTGCAGAATTCCTTGATTATGTCAATCAAATCTGGAAATCTTGATGTTGTTTCATCTCCATTTCTTGAGAAAACACGAATCGATCCATCACTTAATTTGTGAATCTGGGCCCGCTGGCCATCATATCTGAAATTACAATAAACTCAATCCCACATATAAGTAAAAAGCAGGGAGCATATCCTTCTAGAGGAGAGAAAGTAAGACAAACAATGCCAAATGTTCTCAATAACAACAAGACAAATAAATGTAATGAAGCCATCTCAAAGGATACAGCTCAAAGCAGAATCAAATTTCAGCACTTCTAACAAAAGCGATCTTCATTTTCACCCTATCAATTAAGGAATAATTGACATAAAATTAAATGTACCAGTAAGTGCCCCACGTCTCCCAAGAGTTGACTAGGGTTTCCTCTTGTGTCATGATCACACCATTATTGAAGTGAACAGAACGTCCTAGTGACTGATTGTCGTATGATCACATTCTTTGAAACATGATTATTCCTCTCTCATGAGCCCACAATGGCTCTGTTTTAAGAAGCTCTTTTACTTTTTTCTGTCTTCGTCTCTTATTTATTTCCCTCTTTATGAACGATATTTCTTTCCTCTTTTATGATCCAATGGTCAGCTGCTTCAGGGACTCAGCCGTAATGGATTTTAGGTTTTGTCACCTAAACACACACACACATACACATAAATCCATATGTCCTCATCCAGTAAAATTTAAACCAGCATCTTCTTTTAATCTTGCCTCTTCCTCTTCTCTCAACCTTCATTTGAGTACTATGGCATCACCGCTACCACATGAACCACGAAATATGGCTGATTAAACTTGGGAATAGTGAGTGAAGAAATGCATGATTGTAACTATTTGTATCTATGTATAAGTAACAATGCATCAGAAACTATTTCACAATTTCCATTGAACTCAATTATGCACCGATGAGCACAAAAGTGTTGTAATTTTACTTGCACTTATTTTGCAAACCAGATAAATGCATTCAGCATGTTAGTTGGAGGCTTCAGATTATTATTCTGAATGAGGGAGCTCAAAACACTCCAACAGGCCTCTCCTGCGCCAACAACCCTTTCCTATTTCATTTCACAAAACTTTTCATGGAAACTAGTTACAATATAATCTTTAGTTTCTTTTCAACAAAATTATATGAAGTTTCACAGGTATTCCTGTGCAGCAGACACATTAAAAGATTTATCATATCAATTCATGGCTAGTCTATTTAGTCACCGTCACACAACTCAATTGCTATATAGGTGAGAATATTTCTTTGACATGAACATAACATTGATAAGCAAATAAACCACAGTGATCAAAATTTCAAACCTATTTCCAGTATACCCCAACAAAATACTGCTTCCTTCCATGTCATATTTTATGCACTGAACAATAAAATTCAGAGAAAATGGAGAGCATACATAGATAAGGAAGGAATTTACATGAAGAATAGGACATACTTGTATTCACAAGTAAATGCTTTATTTTGAAATAACTTCAGGACTTGGGGAATGCCATTAGTGATCCTACAACAAACAGAGATGAAGAATGCAAAAGCATTAATAAGTATTCTTGGCATTGTCCAGAGAACATTTGGGGCAAAAAAAAAAAAAAGGAAGAAGAAGAGGATGTTCCTGGAGCCATAAAATCTGATAATAAGTCAAACTGAACAAGTGTAAGAATATATACTTTGCAAGCATAGGCTTGATAGGTATTCCTGGAACCATTGACAAACTTGAAGCACAAAAATTAGTGCCTTTGTTCATTAGAGATGGTATTAGAAGATCCTGCATAGAGTAAATAGCATTGCTTAACATTCTGAGACAAGTATACTTTCTTTTGACTAAAAAAATGTATCGCTTCTAAAAACCTTGCCTAGATTATCCTCAAGAGTTTTGAATTCACCAAACACACACACACATGGGGCATTATGAAGGTAAGCAACCTCTAAATTTGTGTTGGAGATGTTTAACATCAATCCTCCATCAACTTGATAAAGAGTGTTAGTAATCACCAAAGAATCACTTTAGGATTTCATATCTCAATCCAAACATCTCCTAGTGTCTATATTTTCCAATACTTTGTTATACAAACCAACCCAACACGCACACATGCTCAAATGCACATGGATGCATGTGCGCATGCACATTATATCTGTATATATGCACTGTTTATGTACAGATACAGAAATTTAGTCAATGAATCATTTCAACTTTTCGCATATAAAATAATTTTCGCATCGATTCCGGTGATTTTAAACTTATGTTTTTCCTTTCTCACATTCAATAACAGGTGTTCAAAAATGGAGGCACCAACATTTAACAATTGGCTACTTAGTCCTCCCTTGAAAAGGGGTTACAGAAAAACAATATGAGGAAAAAATATGAACGTTTATGAGACAGGACATTACATGAACCAATTTAGACCATAGTTGTATGAGCAAATTAAAACTACAATTCCAAATCCGAAAAAAAAAAAAATTATATAAAAGAGCAAGCAAGATTCAGTTTTCCCATATCAGTGCTTACCAAATTTGGGAGTATGTTATATGCTTCAACAATTTCCGCTGAAAGGCCCTAGAGAAGCAGAGAAAAGTCAGCATAATCCCCTAAATAAAAATAGATCAATATTCTTAGTTACGAATGGATGCTTGATAATTTTGAGCATCAGGTAATTGCAAGAAAATGAAAAGTTTAAAATAATAAACTTACACTGCAAAACATACATGGATACACACAAAATTCATTGAAAAAAGAAGGAGCACAATGCTAGGGTGGAAAGAAAGTTCCTAAATGGAATAATAGAACAAAAAATAAAGACTCGTTTGCTCAAAAATGCAAGCCAGTCCTGTCGCAAAAACCTGTGGACCATCTAGCTTATGGATAATTCTCAGTGACCTTAACTAGATATGTTCAGGGATAAAAAGGGTTATATTATTTGATGATCTTCTATGTTATTTGTAGTTTATTAATTCTTAGGAGAACTTTACTATGCAATACCAAAAAAATTGCATTACAGCAGACAAGCTCATCCATGAAATGGGATGCGGAAGATAATTTTTGGAACAAGAAAGCACCAATCCGTAGGTATGGAATAAACCTGAAGCTTCTCCTTCAAATTTTCTGCAGTTCCATCTTGGTGTAAAGCAGGGCATGAATTCATAAAGACAGCTTGGGCCAGAGCAGGCAAAACAGTTCTAATCATTGCACCAATCCGTAAATTCCTGACCTACACAGGAAATTAAACTGAAAACGTGGACTAGTATATATGCAGGAAAAAATCAATAAAAAAATGTTTGAGGACCACGTTACCAGCCAACATTTTTAACTGTCAAAGAAGACAGTGCCATAAAAGAGTGTCATCATAGTTTACAAACAAAAAGCTGCGTAGCATTTCAAAGAATTATAGATATTTACCAAAGTCCGAACAAGAAACTTTATCTCCTTCTCCCGACAAGAGCACATGAGATTTACAATTATGTTTTTCTTCCGAAGAGTGCTTCCATTGCCTGTTTGTAAGCTGATGAGTACTACATGAGTACACTTGACTAAATAGTTCATAAATTATTAGAGCTTCATGAAAATAGTTAAATAAATGAGTAGGGAAAAATAGTTAAACATACATGATAATTGAATAAATATAACATTTTAGTATATTATGCATCATTGACATTATTCATAATTTATAAGAACCATATCAGAGAAGGCCTCAGCTGAGCAAGCCTTCACCCAAGGCCTGAGTAATACCATGTCCAACAGCAGGGGGGAAAATGGAAGAACAAAACAGAATGAACAGGTGGCAGGGGCGGATTCGGAGGTTAAGGAGTTTCTGACATCCTCATATTGCCAGCATATGCATTTCTTATCTTGTCTTCTTCTGCGGTTACCTATAGCATTAGTGCCTGTTCCTTTTCTTGTGTTGCATGTTATATCTTAAGAGTCACTTGTCGTGGCTCTTCACTGCTCTAGCAGATGCCTAATGCTCTTGGGTGTCTGCCATAGAAACAACTTTCTCTTTGTTGCCTATTTTATTTTGTTTCCATAATTACGTTTGTTTACTTTTCTCGGATTGCACAAAGTTTGAGAAATGAGTCATACGTTTTATGGCTAATGAATAGCATGTCTTGCTAGAATATTTATATTATATATGGCCATAGATGATTTTAGTAATACAACTAACATTTTCCGCTCCCAAAAAAAAAAAAAAAACATAATACAATTGACAAATATAAAACACATGGTGGTTCTAAAGGGGAAAAAAAATTATGGTAGGACGATGGGAATTCATCAGACCACTGCAATTTTATATTATTTGGGGAAAAAACACATCCCAAGGTTTTTCCCCTTAAACCTCATCTTTTAATGTTGGCTTACTCCAACATGAGAACCACAAGAAAAGGGCACACTGCTCGGTGGAGACACTACAATATTTAAAGAGTAGGCACGTACAAATAGCAAGATACAAACATAAAACAGGAAAGGTAAAGGCTCAGATTATCATAATTTTCAGTATTCAAGTAAAAGGAAATTTGAAGATTTTACATGAAATGGAACATACATCAGACATGGTCATGCATTGATGTTCTACTTTTAGAATTGAAGCAGAAGCCCCAAGTCATTTCTTCATTGATAAGTTCAACCACCCTGAGTAAATTAGAGTCTTAATCTTATTAATGACAATACTATAAATGAAAGTTTCACTTTAAGCAACAACAATCAATATAATTCAAAATATTCCACTTATTGGCCCCGGTCAAAGTTTGAACAATGATGTTTTGTTATAATAAATAATTTATCGCAAGTCAAAATAGAAATATATATATATAAACACACACACACCCCACCTATAAATCATATATGTTCAGAAGGTTATCAACTAAATACCTGGAAAAGACCTTTTAGCAGTCAATAAATAGTACTAGTGAGTTTGCATGTCCCAAAAATTGTAAAACAAGACCAGTCATCATACCTTATCTTGTGAAGTGCAGAGAAAACATCTTTAATCAGAAGTGGTGTTGGAGGAGCGAGCAATCTCTGTGTTTGCCGACACTCTTGAGCAACATCACCTTTAACAAGAAACTATTCCACAATTATTCCAGCCCTCAGAAGAAAAATTTTCAGTCTAACACTAAAATCCATCAAAGCTGTCATCGAACCAAGGTCACCAAATTTGTTATACATCTCCTTTATTTTCAATCGAGTTGTTCCACATGCCTCTTCTAGTGCTGCAGTAATCAGACTTCCACCAATATTTAATTCCTACATAAATGTCAAAATAAGCAAAAGAACTTTCTCAATGCATGACAAATTATACGGCACAAACTTTTCTTAATAATTCAGATCAATAAAATTTGCATTATGTTTAAGATCTTTAGAAAATCAACACGAGTTCCTACTCCTAGATGAACAAAACTGAACCATGAATTACAGCTTCAAAGAAAACCTCAAGGTCCATAACAAAACATAAGAGATCTGAGAGCTGCAGAATGATATGAAGACGATGACTTTTTTCAAGGGTGATATGAAGAAGACTACTTGAAAGAAATACCACGGTCTGTGCATTCAAAATCCCATAAAAAAAGGAGTGACAAGCAAAGTCGCAATTCAAAGAACAGCCAAGGGAATGAAAATTGGAAGTAGGGATTCAAAGCAATCCCCATTGCAGGAGAAGACTTCTAAAATTTAATACAACATATACGAAAGAAGAAAAAGGGAGAAAGTTTGTATATTAAGACAATAATGGTTCGAGATTCCATGGATTATTCTAAATTTAAGTGAAAAGATGTGAAGCAATTGAGAAAAATGGAAAGAAGTAATCTACCTTATTTTCATGGTCAGCAGCAATTTTACTTGTGCACAGGTACACAGCAGGAAGTACATCAGCAGGAGACAAGGCCAACAAACTGTATTGTGTACACACCATAGAACATAATGTTCGTCAATCAGCCCATTGCAAATAAATACCTCAATGATTCCATAAAATAGAAAAATTGCATGCAGACACCTTCTGAACATATTGCATAACATTGAAGTAGCCTTTATCTTCCCTTTCTCATCCTCAAGAAGGTTAAAGGTTCGTGCAAGATGTAAATATGGCGCAGACTCTCCATCTCTCCAACACGCTGTTGTGCCAGTTTTATACATAGTTGGCATCAGTAAATTGAAGAACTCCTGAATTAATATATCCAGAAAAGAGGAAAAGGAAAAGCAAGAAATTAATACAAACCGTGTTCTTTAGGGTTGTATTCTTTAGGTGGTAGAGGTACAAGAGTTGCATCTACACTCTCTCTGGATATGCTTCGCACAGAAATATCATGTGGTGTGGATCTTAATTCCTGTGACACACATTTCCTTTCCGAAGAGTTGTCCACTTTGCACTCAAGTTGAACTGATTTTTCATTCTCAGCAAAATTCCCAGGATTACGATAATATATGTCCAATGCCTTATTTAGATCTCCTTTCGTCTTCTCAATTATTGTGATAGCATAACTTTTTAATGATTCATCGCCATTTATTATCTGCATGAACTGGTTGATCTCATCCTCATATGCTTTTTCAACATCAAATTGTAGCAAGTTTTCATCTTTAGGGCTTTGATCAGTACTGGCTTCAAAATTACCAGATTGGGTGATGTCAGGCAAGGCTTTAGTGAAGAATTTTGTTATCCTGGACTGTTTTGGCCCACTTGATTCTGATTTTGTATGGACTTTTACTTTCTTGTTTAGCTTTCTTTCACTATTTCTCTTCCTTTTAGCAGGAGAAATGCTACTTGCTACTGAATTTCTCGGGGCGGATAACTTAAAGTCTTGACTTGGTGAAATGTCAACACTCAAGCAAGTTTTACTACTAACAACGGGGGCTATTGAAAGCAAATCACTGCCATCGGATAAGCATGTGGATGCAGAAACAGACGTTTGACAGGAAAATACTTGATCATGAAATTCAGTTTCACGTTCAAAGAAACTAGAAACAGCTTCAACCACATTGCCCCTTGCATTGCTGATCAGCTCTAGAACTTGTCCCTGAGTCACCCATGCGGGCAAATAACAAGACATCTCTTGACCGATCTTCTCTGTTTCCTCATCCTTTAGTGATGTGGGATCCCGCAAGTCAGGTTCCTCAAGAGTAGAAGACAAATTTAGAGAAATATCTGGATTAATACTCTTATCATCTCCCTTGTCAAATAACTTCACTTCTGCCTCCATGTCCTGCCCTGGCTTCATGGCATCATTATCATCCTTGTCAAACTTGAAGCCCCCTTCACTAGATGTAAAATGAAATCCCTTTAAAAATTCCTGCTTGTTGGCTGTCTCATCAACTAACCCAGCAAAATGCTTCATCATCTTCTCCACATGTTTACTGTCAGTTTTGTCAACATCTACACCTACTGTAGGAACAACACGCTTTGGTTTCAAAAACTTTACGTATTCCCTGAGCTCATCATAGTTAGAATGTTCACTATATGGTACAAGATGAATCTGAAATGAATCCTTCGACTTCACAGTAAATTTATTGCGCTTCACTTCATAAGTCCATCCAGTTGGAACAAAACCCACGACTTTAGAGTACCCTCTCTCAGTCATAATCTCCTTCATTCTAACAAAATTAGGTCTAAAGTATGGCCATGTCTCACCCAACACATTCCACCCAACAACATGAATATTAGTTTGAGAGTCATCAACTGTAAAGTCCCCGCCTTCCCCATACCCAAGAACCCGCAAAACCTCCATTTTTCTAGCATCCACATGCACTTTACGTTTAAACCTACGAGCAAGTTCAAGCAGAATCTTCTCTTTCCCAACAACATAAGTAGCAACAAGGAACAGAACATTCCCAATAGAACCATCATTTTCATTTTCAGCCCTCTCAACTACATCAACTATATAAGCTACAGACTCTTCTTGGCTAGGAAACTGAAACTTTGGGTGACAATAGGTTGTGTCCAAAAATACGGCATCGGCACCAACATATGCAGCAAGTAAAGGCTCTGACTTCATTGCCTTAGAAAACCGAAAATCTCCCGTGTGAACATACCTCTCGCACTTTCCATCAACACCCGGAATTTTAAACAAGAATTGCACAGCCCCAGGGCAATGATTCGCATCAATAAGAGTGACTTCACACCCATCAATCTCAACAGGCTCACAGAGCCGTAAAGGGACTACGAACTTCGAAGGAACCCCGAGCACTTCAACGACAAGTCGAGCAGTGGTGTTGGAGCAATAAACAATGCCTTTAGACCAATTAGAGCCAAGACCAGTGTAGTGATCAGAGTGGAAATGGGAAAGGAAGTAGGCAACAGAGTAATCGCCGGCATGGCGGAATGCGTCCACCAAAAACCGGGTTTTGGGGATGAGTTTATACTGGGGGAAAGACGGCGGAAGAGGGGAGTGGGAGGGCTGGAGAGAGACTGACTGAGAGGGAGGCGACGACCTTAGGCGTTGGAAAGCACTGTGGAAGAGCTCAAGCGAACTTAGGGTTTGGGATTTGGGCATTTGCGATGAAAGAGAAGCCAAGGAAGAAGCTTGTGTAGCTGTGTGTTTCTCAGTGAATGAGCGGAAGGCAGACGAAGCATCAATGGCTGATGGGTCTACAAGAAAGAACGGTTTCTGGTTCAGGATTCTTCCCGCGAGGACTCGTATCCATGGCGCCAAACAAATACTTTCCTTTCAGTTATGAATTGCCCATGACTACGAGAAGCTGGGTAAAAAGGTAATTGCAAACTAAAAAACCGAGTTAGCTCCAATACTTCAGATCAAAAACTTTTTGGGAGAATTAAAGTAATTCTTACACTGAGATTTATTATTACAAAATACTCAGTTATTATGAAATTTTTAGTGAATATATTCATTTTTTAGAATGTTATAGTAATTTTTCCAAACTTTTTTAATGATATAAATTTTATAATATATATTAATAATATTATTTTTTATTTTTAATATAAGAGCTAGATAATTAATTTATAAATATTAAAAATATTAGTTAAGTTAGTTATTTATAATAAATTGATATTTACTTTCTTAAAATACTCTTATTAATCATGTATATTAAAAAAAACTCTTTAATATGCACAATTATCATGAAGATTAATTTAAAATAAATAAATAAAATCAAGTTAAATATGAAATTAACTTTTATGTTAACAAAGTCTTGGATGAAAATGGAAAAGCCTAAACTCGCCAGCTAGATGGCCCTCTCGTTGAAAGGCACCGATTGCAGTATTCTTTTTTCTTTTTTAATGATTAAGTTCAATGAATCTCTTTCATAATTAGGACAGAAAGGGAAGTTGAACGTGACATGGGCGGCTGAAGGGAAACATAAAGGAGCAAAATTATGTGGCTTTTGACTATTTCGGAACAACAATTGAATCCCAAAACAATATTTTGGCCCCCAAAAAAAAAAAAACTGTTCTGATAGTTTTAAATTAAAATTAGTACACACACATTGTACCGCCAAAAAAAAAAAATAGCATACATGCAATTACATTGATTGATACTTCTCTGATCCGTCAGTATGTTTTATATAAATTATATAAAAAAATGTATTAACTCTCGTTTCATTTCAACTATAATAATTTTTTAACTTTATTCCTATTCGAGAAATACACTTTTTAAAAATAAAAAATTATTTACACTATAATAGATAAAAAAAACAAAATAATATATGCATGCTAAAAATTTAATGAGATAACTTGTGAAATAAATAAAAAAGAACTTCCTATTCTGCCTTATTACTATGATTAAAGAAGTATATATAAAACCATTTTTTCCCGACGCCACACCAAATTTTAAAAAAAAAAAAATCACTTAACGTAAGTGATATCGAAGGGCGAAGTGGTGCATAATACTGCTTATCCAACAAGTGCTATGCTACTAGGTTTAATACTTCCCAATTAAGAGTCAATTTTTAAAAGTTTGGACTGGATATAAAACAAAATCAACATTCAGAATTATCTGGAATCTATAGTTTTACTTTATACCATTATTGTCATGGTATTATTTGCTATGACACCCTTTAATGAATTCTGACGGCAAAACCAATCTTTTTGTACGGTCTGTTTTCTGCAGCAAATGCTTACTATGGATTTATAACACCAATTTATATATTATTACAGACAAGCTTTCTATGCAAGTTTGAGAAGAGACTTTAATTTCCTTCTAATAACTCATCTGTCTTTAACATCACTTGGTAAAAAATACTAACTCTTATTCATAATTTCTCTATACCTTATTTTCTTACTTTTAATTCTGTCAACATAAAAATGTTAAATATTTGTAACTTATGTACTTTAATTTATTACAAATATCATTTTGTCCTTGGTTAAAAAAAAAAAAGATGTCACGTAAACATACAAAACATTTTTTTTAATAAAACATTAAACATTATTTAGACTAGAAGCAAAACAATGCAGCTTTTGAGTATTGCAGGGGAACAACTTTTAATTCCCAACACAATAAATGATACATAGCATGTGATGATAATTTTAATTAAATTAAAAATTAATATACATACAATTACATCCACCATAATACAACAAGCTTTTTTTTCCTAACCCACACCAAATGGAAAAACTTGCTTATAAAGCAATAGTGATGCCCCAAATTGGTGGGAAAAACACCTATAATAGGTAATTAAACGAATATTTCTAGCTGGCAAAAGCCAAAAAATAAAATAAAAAGGAAACTTAAAACGATGTCGTGTCCCTCATAATTACCATGGAACATGCCACCCCCAATCACAACTTCTTCAGGAGATCAGAGCTTTTGATTCGATGATCTTCATCTTGAACAAACAGGTTCTTCTGTTATTGTCTCCAACAATGGCTTCTTCGACCTGCACATAGATAACCTGTGCATGAACTCCGGCCTCGAGAATTCTTCTATGTCATCTAACTCCAACTTCACCGCCGGCGACGGCGCCGCCATATCATTACTTTCTTTCTCCTCCACGCTGTCGTTATTATTACTGTAACTCTCCGGCAAGACTCTCGCCTTCCCACCACTAACCTTCTTCACGGCAGCGTTAGCCGTGAGCAACAACGAGCCCATGTCGGCGCCGGTCACCTTAGAGTTAAGCCTCTTCATGGGGAACATCACGTAAACGTTGGAAAACTCGAGCTCTTCGTCAGCGCTGAGAGCGGAAAACCGCCGTCCAATCTGAAGGGCACGCGCGTTCACCACGAAGAAGTTCGGCTTCTCAAGCATCAGCTCGGCCGCCCTGATCGGAGCTCGAAGCTCCTTGATCTCGCCGCCGGGAAAGATCACCTTGATCGCTCTCAAATTCTTGCTTCCCGGGGTTGATAAAGTGCACGAAACGTAGTTCCCCATATTGAAAAAAACCAGTTTCTGGTTGGAGATGAAGGAGAAAGATACTGTGTAATGGAAGTAAATCAAAATGGCTTGTTCTTCAGAATTGAGAATATCGATGTTCTTGTCGTTTGAGTGATTGATAATTGTGTATATATATAGAGGGAAGTGGTGAAGAAGAAGAAGGAGAGGAAAGGAAAGAGTGTTAAAGAGGAATTTTCAGAGGAGACAGTTGTAAGCGATGAATAAGGTTGACAATTTGTGATGGGAGGCCGCGTAGGAATGAGAAAGACGGAAGGAACGGTGGCTTAATTTGAATTTTTTAATTTTAATTATATTGTGAAGAAAAGAATAGGAAGCTACATTTTAATATATTTTATAATTTTGTGATTGGTTTTGGAATTTTGTATTTGGCACTTAAGCTTATGATGATCTGTTCCATTATACGATTATGCAAACGCGCTGGTGTCTCATCACCTAAATTATTTACTTATAACAATGGATGGATTTCGACTTTTATAATTATAAATTATTATATGGATACATTATACATATATAAGAGAAACAATAATAATTATTCCCAGTTAAGATATATTAAAGAAAAATTTATTATTATTTTCAGTGAGACGAGCATATTATTGTGCTCACATGAGTTCTCTGAACTCTCTTTGTTTTTAAGAGCTAAAAAAAGCTGATCACATGCACTAAAAGCGCATTAGATATAAATTGATTATATAATATTTGTAAGTATAAGTTTAAATATATGGTTGGCCAAAATTTTAGGGAAAAATAAAACGGTTCGCATGTATGTTCATTAAGCGTTAAATCACGGTGGCTCAAATTATTTTTGTTTCAAATTAAAGTTAGGACTATGAGTGTTAATTAGATCTTTATAGAATCTATCCAATTAAATTAAATAGTCCAACGGGCATTCTCCGAACTTAACAACTAACATTTATCTCTTCAAATATTTTTTCTTGCTTGTATATATTATATTTGGTAGCATTTGAGTAAACAATATTGAATAGTCAACATATAAAATTATTGAAAATTGATCTAAAAATTTAGTTATTAATAGAGTATAATGACGTGTGTTCCATAAGTAATGTCACCTAACAAGATAAAACTTCTTGTAGTATTAAATTAAATTAACCAAATAAGCTATTAGTTGAGATAACAAGTGATCTCACACTCATAAATAGGATAATATAAGTTCAAATTCAGAAAAGACACACTTGTTTTAAAGACTTTAACCTTAACGTTCTTAATCAGATAGAGATTAATCTTAAATCTAAAATGCATTAAAAAAAAGCCTCTGAGTTTATACACAAAAAAATTAAATCATATGGCGTTTTTTTCCTCCTCCTGATTGGGAACATCCCGAAACAAGATGATGGTTCAAGGTTTTAGCACTTTTGGTCCTGTTTGGCATATGTTGACTGGAAAAGCACGAAGAAATTCATTTGTTAATATATACTCCTCCGGTCCTTAATATAAGACCCATTTAACTAATTTGATTAGATTAAGGAAGTTAGGTAAGTTAGTTAATTATAAAAAAAGTGACACATTTTTCCTAAAACACCATAATCATCTTTTTTAATATTCCATCTCCCTCTTCTACTTGATTATGGTTGATGGAATATCCATAGGGGTAATTTAGAGAAAATTAATAAATATGAGAAATGGATCTTATATTTAGGATCAAAATCAACTCAAGAATTGGGTCCTATATTAAGGACCGGAGGAGTATATATATATATATAGGACAAAAGAAAATCTATTTTATTAATGATAAAAAAATAAAAACACACACACACCAAAAGCTAAAAACAAAAGGAAAACTCACAAAAAGATCCTAAAAAATACAACCTAACACTATCCAATGTCACTTCTCTCAACAGAAAATAAAAATGTTATTAGTCAATTGTAATTGTTTCTTTTTGTTTACAAAATCTCCTTTCCAATTAATTTCATTTTCGTACATCAAACGAGACAAAACAATTGTATAGTTAAATCGTGAATCAACTGAAATTTATAAAAAAATTTATTGAGAATACCTTACAAGTCAATACAATAACTTAAATAATTAAATATTATGGTTCATAAATTGTAGAAGAAACAACTGCACATATATTATCCAAAGTACGTATATTTATTATTAATTTATAAAAAGTATCTAATTATTATCGATTGATAAGTGTTTTAGGATTTAGACCACCTAAAATTGTGTATCTCTAATGTTCTTTGAAGTTGATAGATCGTGAGTTGAAATATGCATGGGAAAGGAATTAATTAAATTATAAGAAATAAAAAGAAAAAAATGGAAAGATAAATTAAAATA